CTAATTTTCATGCCACTGTTGCGGCAGGAAAAGCAGCTATGCCTCATTAAAAAAAACAGTTGTTTAAAAAATGATTAATAGGGTTAGTGGATAACGCTTAAAATAAAGACGTTTTGCAGCATAAAAAAAAAAAGTTTGTTTCATTAATGTGTTTTAGTCCACTGACGACTTATTTTAAGAATTAGGTCAAAATCAAAAACATATTTGACATTTTTAAATAGGATGGAATTAAAATTAGCACGTTAGAGCATCTTAAATGTAGTAGCGTGACCACTAAATATCAACACAACTTTTGGATAAAAATCCCATTTGAAAACACACCTTTTCAAGCTGGCATTTAATAACTAATTTAGTGGTGACACACATATTGATGATGATTTTATTATAATGATTTTATACCTAGTATTTATTATTGTGATTTTTGTCTGGTCATCTTATTAACTTTTATTGTATATTCCAGAATTGTTTGATTTTATGATCTATGTTTACACTGCTACGTGTTTGGGTTATTTTCTAACTGTGACTTATAAGGTGTCCTCGAGTGTCCTGAAATGAGCCTATAAATAACATGCATCATTATTATTATTATTATTATAAATATTAAATTGTTTTTTCAAGATCAGAGCAAATCCTGTTGGTTGTACTGAACTAGTTTGTCAGATTATAAAAGACTCACTCAATAATGCCAGAGTTGAAACTATTTAGAAAGATACCTGCAAACTGATACCTTAATTTTTTAAAGTTGAACCAGTGGACTATTTTTTCAGAGTGTATCCTGGCAGGAAAAGCAGTTATCTCCCAGTAAAAAAAATAAATAAATAATTTTTTTGTGTCATTACATTGGCAGAAAAAGCAGCAATGTCTTGGTAAAAAAAAATGCTTTTAATGCCTAAAAAGACACTGGAAACACATCATTGAATCACAAAGTCAACCAGTGTTTGTTGGTCTTAAACAGCGGTCTGCAGCTTGACAGGCGTTGTGCCTAGGAGTCAACATCCACCATCCCTTTTCCTTAAAAGTCAGCTCATACACTGCATCACTTTAGAAATGTTGATATATGTATAAAACGTATAAATGTGACATATCTGTGGTTTTCAGGAGCGTTCAATGCCAACATTTTTTCTGGCAGCTGGGCTGTCATTTCTATAGCCAAGCACTTACCTAAATCCAACATGCTTACAAATAATGTATGAACTCGATTAAGGCTACAACTGACAATGATTTTCATGCTCGATTAATCTGCATAGTATTTTCTCAATTAATCATTTAGTCTATGAAATGTCATTGTAGAGCCGATGGTGACGGGATCCTTCCTGCAGCATTTAGCCTAAACCTGACTCTTCATGTTTATATCAATCACGAGATATTCTTTCTGAATGTTGATTTTGTTTACACCAAACCCTGGCTACATTTAACAGGCACATGTGATATACTGCTATGAGCTTGTGTCCTTTAGACACGTGATTAAGATGAACTTTGTTTAGTTACTGGTAACTCTCCTCTGGGATGTGTGCATATGTCTGGGACTGTGTGTGAGTGTATTTTTAAGTTTGGGGTATTGATTTATGTGTGGCTTATATGCCTTTTCAATTTGCCCAGAAAAATAATATTTTTAAAAAATGTCTGATGGTGACATTTCAAGTGCTTTTAATGGACCATTATTCCAATACCCATTCTTATTATGTTAACAACAATATAAAAGGAAGACAGAGAAAAGCAGGAAATTCTCATGTTGGTGACACAAAACAAATGTTTAAGGTTTCAACTGATAAAAGACTGAAAGAATTCAGCCATTATCAAAACAGCTGTCGGTTAATTTTGTGGCGTTCAGCATCTTGTTGAATCGAATAATTGTTTCGTATGGTAGCCTACAAGGGCAAACGCACTGCAGCGGCCCAAAACATTTCCATTAGGAGAAGCGTGCTGCAGCTTCAGAAACAATGCCAATTAAAAAAAAAAAACACATTCAAAAAACCAAAACAACACACTGCAAATGAAAAACAAGCAGCAGAAAGCCAAATACATTAACAGTGAATGCACTGCAAATACAGAAACAATGCAAAGTCAAAAAACACGCCAAGCCAGAAACAAATCCAACAGAAACATATATTCTTTTTTACATTTATCCTTAGTCCGTTACAATATTAGCAAAGAGCTAACTATGCAAATCTGTTGCTCCGCCCCTTTTATAACTCCACCCTAACTTGGGGAATAATGCTAATGAATTATTCAGGTAATTCATTCAATACAATTCTATCTATATACTATAGGTCTCCATCTACATCAGAGGAAGGATAGGTATCTGCACAGGTATCATCCATCTGTTAGTCTATCATCGATATTCAATGGTTGGACCAATAGATGTACACGAAATGGGTAACATAGATCCACATGTCAAAACAGAGTATTGAATGTCTGAATATTAACAAGACTGTGAAACTGTGTCAGTAAGATACCTGACAAATTAGAATACAAAGTATATCTGGTTTAATTGAGGACATTAGTTGAAACTGAACTTAAGTTTGAAGGTCAAAAATAGAGAAAATGCGCTATCGATGACTGAGCTGTACCACCGAGTTACAACATTTTATCAAGCCTAGCTAACACTTGCTGGGAGTTGGTTACATAGTTCAAAATGGTGCTATGTTTTAGGCAACAAGACAGCTGTTAAGATGATATATGGTTGGATTCGGTCACTCACGTAGACAGCTCAGTAATCGAAAAACAAGTACGACAAAGAAGTTCACTTATGTCAGCCGAAAACACTTTTTGTCACTGAACTCAGCTGAAACAAGTCCAATCTCTGTGGAATATTGCGGGTCACTGTTTGGCGGTATTCTGATCAACTGGCCAGAAGCACGAAAGGATCGACCCTGTGTGACCACATAGAAAGTCCAAGTGTTACAATTTACCCCGCGTTAGGTTGTGCCACACGATCCCCTTGATATTAACTCTTTCCCTGCCACTGACGAGATTTTCAACACGCTCTCACTCCGAAGTCGTCGAAATCCAGCGCTTGGGCAGTGACTTGCAGTGTCAGACAAAAGCCGTCCTTTAATGCTGGCATGATATGCGGTCGCCATTATAGTTTAACGGTGCTTGGCAGTGTCAGGGGGAAACGAGGTGGGACAAGGAGGAAAGTTAAGGCAGCGAAAGTCCGAGTAGGGAGGGCAGGAGGTTTGGTAAATGGGTCCAACAAACTCCGACTTTCACCTGGGAGAGCGGTGTTTGTGTCCCGTAAGATTCTAAAGCCAAACCCTGTTTTTTTTCTTTTCTGAAACCTAACCACGTATTTTTGTTGTCGAAGGGAAAAAAAACATCAACAATAATAAACATTAAATTTCCTTTAAAAAACGGAAGTTTATTTTGAAAGAACACAATGCATGCAACAGCGTGAACTTCACACGGCATCCCAGATCATCAACAACCAACACACCCAGGGTACCTTGCACATTGCATCTGGACGAGGACAGTCGATGACCAAATGTCGTTATGTGATGAGGTCGGAGTGAGAATGTGTTGATGATGGACTCAGACTCTGACAATTCCTGTTTTGATCAACATTCTGAATCTGAGTTGGACGAAGAAGAAAACGTGTTTGGTGGGACGAAACGGGATCTCCATGACAGTGACAGTGACACATGGACAAGACGACCACAGAGGAGACGAAGACAACAGTATTGCCATTGAAAGTGACGTGTTACGCTATACCTCAAAGAGAACATTATTTTCATTATTGTTATCATTACTATATACATTTATACAAATCAAACTGACGTAAGGAAACATGGACACAACAAACACCAACTTTCACCAGAGAGAGCTGTGTTCGCGTCTAGTAAGATTCTAAAGCCAAACCATGTTCTTTTTTCCTAACCCTAACCACTTCCTTTTGTGCCTACACGTAACCACGTGGTTGTCGAAGGAAAAAAAAGGTCAATTAGCTGTGTTGTCCTGACATAGTGCGTTTATTTTGAAAGAGACTGTATGTAAATGGTAAATTTCCTGTGAAAACTGAAGTGTATTTTGAAAGAAGACAATGCATGTAACAAACAGACACAGCGTTCCGAAACATCAACTACCAACACACACAGGGTTCCTTGCACGTCGTATGTGGACATGGAAAGTCCATGGCCAAATGTCAATAAACTGTTGTTTGTTTTGTTGTTTTTGTTTAGACTCTAGGGGGACACGAGACCACAGCGTGGAAGCTAATGAGGATCCATAAAGGATAGAGAACAATGAAGGATTTTCCACAACCTGGCAACCCAAAATGTGCTCTTTTTAAGGGCTTATGGAGATCTAGTGAATAAACTAATAAAAAATAATAAAGCAGTGTCTACTGTAGCGTGCTACCAAAGCAGCAAACATAGGCAGAGCATGTTTTTTGGAAGTCATTTTCCACCATCAACACCCACAGCCTCTCCTCCTCCCTCCATCTGACTGCCTCCATGCTTCAAACATCAACTTTCCCCCTGCACACTTTTCACTGCCGATGCTCAAACTGAAGGAATCCCCCCTGTCTCCCACTCTGTGCGTGAGAATCAGTGGAGCTGCAGCGCGTGTGTTGACAGGTGATCTTTCTCTCTGCATTCACTCCTGATCGAGCCTACCCACGCACACGAGTGGGCTCCGGTCCACAGGATGCTTGTGCAGCCTGGACTGTTGTGCCAAACTGGTTTGGAGGCTGCCTCGCACAGTAAATAGCCCGCAACAGCGTTTATTTCAAGACTTCAAAGGCTGCTTCAGACTCTCTCTTTGCCTCTCCCTCTCTGTGTTTCTCTCCTCCTACGAGTCGCGGGAGGAGAGATGTCTCAAAACAAGACAGGGATGCCCAAAAACAGAAAGACGAGTTGTTTTTGCAGCGTTTTAAAAAAACTGAACTCACGCTGCTGTCATTGGGATTGGATAGGAGCCAAGATAGAAAGGACAGAGAGGGGGGTTTAGATTAAAATAAAGCATGCAGAGGGTTGTGTTATAGATGAGAAATAAGACTGTACCTCCTGCTGAGACGCGGCTCCACAGCAGCCCGATCCACAGCACCGCGGACAAGGTGATGCGGAGTCGGTATCCGACCGAGCAGGCGGCCGGTGGCATGGCGACAAAAGCCGGTCCAGAGGGTGTTGGAGGAGGAGGTGGTGGAGATGGAGGTGGAGGGTGTGTAGATAAATATAAGGTGGAGAAAATGCACAGGAGATAATGAGCTCTCGGGTCTGGCTGGTGTGCAGGTAGAGCCGGTAACGTCACGGTCCGGATCAGAGCGTGCCGACGGTCCGCATGTCAGCGCAGCATCCTCCTGACTGCAAGCTGCGCCTCCTGCTTTCTGCCTCCGATCTGTCCTCCTTCTCTCCTCCGCGGACTCTTCTGTCCTCTCTCTCTCTCACACTGTCTCTGCGTGCCCCCTCACCCGCCCACCCCCCCTCCACACACAGACCTGACCTCAATGGTAATGAAACTTTTGCTCAGAGAGAGCGTGTGTGTGTGTGTGTGTGTGTGTGTGTGTGTGTGTGTGTGTGTGTGAGAGAGAGAGAGAGTGTGTATATGTGTCAGGGTGACTGTTGTGGGCTGCAGTAAGATCAGGACACACTTACATAAGATGGAGATGGAGAGAGGGGGAGAGTAGTCCAATGTAGTGGTGCAGATTTACTGGGTGGATGAGGGGATGTTTGCAGGGGTGGTGGTGGTGGTGGTGGTGGGGTTGACTTACGAGCCATCTCATCCTGGAGCTGGTAATCTGTTTAAGTAGCAGTATTTCACTGTAGCAATCTACTGCAATCCAAAGCTTTACAGGCTGAACACACTGCAGGCTGATAAATGCTGACCACTGGAGATGTTCAGGAAACACTGGTCTCTATCGATGCAGCTTGATTGATTGAATATTAATGGGTGTCATTGTTAGTAGCAGTAGCAACAGCAGAAGAAGAAGTGGCAACAGACGGTGGTGGAGGATGTCAAAATACTCCAGTAAAGTGAGAACAATGAGGACAGTGTAGTGAAAGTAGAACAGGCTGTTCTCCAGCACTGTTTGTATGCTAGTTACAAAAATGCACCAGAATTGGTATTTAATATTTGTAGAAATGATCGTGAAGGCAACGAATGCGCTAACGGGGGTAAAGAAGCAGGTATGAGCGAAATTCCATGTAAGAGAAAGGTTAACAAACACAAGACTTTCCCACAGGAGATCGCTGTTTGTGTCCCATTAGAAATAAAGTGAGTTTTAAGGTATGCTATCACATATTAAGTACGTAACTTTACATTAAGTGTGTAACGTTATGACGGCTAACTATGTTTCTTTTCCTAAACTTAGCTTAGTAACTTTGATGTAAAGTATGTAAAGTAACGACGCAAGTTTGTAACGTGACAACGCCCAACTGTAAAACTAAGCTATGTAACTTTACTTTCCGAAGCCAAACCTACGCAACTTTACTCTCCTAATTCCAACCTAAGTAACCATTACTTTCCCAAACCACAAGTCCAACCACAATTCTTTTCTTAACCCAAATCATGACTCTTTTCCTAAACATCTTACATAAAATAACTTGACTAAACCTAACCTATTTAACTCTCTTTCCTAAACCTAACCTACGTAACTTGTTAAGTACGTAAAGTGACATCACCGAACCATGTTTCTTTTCACCGACATAACTTAACGTAAATACATATGACAATGCCAAACCGTAATTTTTTTCTTAACACTAACCTACATAGCTTTACATTAAGTATGTAAAATGACAATACCAAACCATGACCTTTTTCCTAAACATATCATACGTAACGTTACTTTACTGAATTTTACCTACTCAACTTTACGTATCTAAACTTTATCTACTTAACTTTACATAAAGAATGTCATGTGACTTACCCACAGGAGATTAGTGTTTGTGCCCCAATGCGAAACCAAGTATGTAACTTCACGTTAAATACTAAATGTGACATCACCCAACCATGTTTCTTTTTCTAAACTTTACCTACGTAACTTTACATACCTAAACCTAAACTACGCAACTTTAAATGAAGTATGTACTGTGACTTTCCCACAGGAGATCTGTGTTTTTGTCCCATGTGAAAGAGAAGTGAACTTTGAGCTGTTTAAAGTCCACTGTCTCGTTATGTTAAGTAAGTAACTTAAAGGTAGGATCTGGAGGATTTTCAAACAAAACAAAATATAGACATATACAAATGAAATCCTGCTTAATCATCACCTATGGGCTTCTACTCATGTGTGGTGGTGACTCTGTTTGCAGAGCTCCTGCCCTTTAACTGTATTTTGATGTTTTTGTGAGCTCGGACCGCTTCTGGGCGGAAATTTCCCCAGCCAATGAGAGAGCGCAGGTGCCGTGTCCGAGCGTGTCCGAACGTGCACCAGCGCAAGCCTTGCCTGAACCTCATCTGTGAAGCCTTCTTCCATACCTCCGGACTCCGTACACCTGGGAGAGTTGAGCCTGATAGGAGGGGCCGAATTTGAATGTGTGCTTACAAACAGCAACTGGAAAATCCTCCAGACCCTACCTTTAATGTTAAGTATGTAATGTGACAATGCCCAACCATGTTTCTTTTGCTAAACCTAACCTTTACTTTCCAAACTCTGACCTATGTAACTGTACATTCAATACGTGACGTGACAACGCTGAATCATGTTTCTTTTTACCTACATAACTTTACGTTAAGTCTGTAACATGACAACGCCCAACCATAATTCTTTTCCTAAACCTAACCTATGTAGCTTTACATTCCAAAGCCTAATCTACAAAACTATTACGTTCCTAGACCTAACCTACTTAACTTTATGTTAAGTATGTAACATGACGAGCCAAATCACTCTTTTCCGAAACATAACTTACCTAACTTTACTGCACTAAACCTAACAACATAATTTTACTTTCCTAAACCTGACCTCCATTACTCTATATTAAGTACATGATGTTACAATGCCCAACCATGTTTCTTTACCATGTTTTCTTTCTAAACCTAACCTACTCAACTTTACATTGAGTTCATAACGCAATTATGCCCAACAATGCATCTTTTTCTAAACTTAACCTATGTAACTTTATGTTAAATATGTAACATTATGATGCCCAACCATGTATTTCTTTCCGTAAATCTAACCAACATAACTTTCCAAAACATAACCTACGTAACTATTATACATGCAGTGGAGTAGAAGTAGAAAGTGTCATGAAAAGATAACAATAGGGTAAAGTACAAGTACTTCAAATTCGTACTGAGTAAATGTAATTAGTTACATTCCAGATGACGATAGAAGAAGTAGCAGTAGTACAAGTTTTGTTTAAAGACAAAGTTTGACTTCACAGGAGATCATTTGCTTGCTTGCCAAAAGTCATTCAGATGAAGCTACAGCCAGCAGCCTGTTAGCTTAGCTTAGCATAAAGACTGGAAACAGTGGGAAACTGCTAGCCTGGCTCTGTCTGAAGGTAACAAAATCCACCAACTAGCACCTCTGAAGCTCATAAATGAACCCATTGTTTATTCTTTGTTTAATCCATACAAATATCGAAGTGTAAAAAATGAATTTATTTCTAGATAATAATGATAAATCATAGACTATTTGGGGGCCAAGTGGGAGTTTGTATGCATGTAGGTTTGTGGAAAGGAAGGTGGGAAGTACTGACAATTATGACAGAATGTGTGACATGTAAGTTTGTCTGAGAGTGCATTCACATCACTCTATGTTTTATAAATATGGGCTTTTTAAATCTGATCATATGTGATTTGCTCTACCTCACAAAGTTCTTTCACTTTTTGAATCTATACATTGTGAGCGGAAGTATAAGATGTTCACTCGTGGAATTTTAAACACATAGATTTTGACCTGTTCCTCAAAACCAAGTAAAAGAAAAATAAACATAACACTCAGTATTTGTGTGGCTTCAAACCCATATTCGCCAAACTCTACTCCCGTTCCCTCTCCCAGCCTGTCTATAATGCATGACAAAAGGTCATCAATAATTCAGTGATATTACTTTATGAAAAAAAAGCTCTTGAACCAGCCAGACAGACAGACAGGGAACCAGAGGACGCCAGTCTTTCTTTCTATCTGTCTGTCTGTCGGGGGTTTCAGGGTTAGCTCCAAGTCGTAAGGAAGTAACACACTCACCTCATTAGCTGCTGTGCTACAACAACAGTCTCGCCCTTCTCTGCATGATTTTTCACTTGTAACTCTGAGCTGCTGACACATCCAGACGGCTGACAGGTAGAAAAACAAGAGCGTAAACATGAAACAGAGAGGAAAAAAACAAAGCACAGGACATGACTTGTGCTCAGAAACAACATTTGCTGCGTGTTTACTTCCAGGCTCTGTCCAGAGTGTGGTTGCAAAGAGTCTGTGAGTACTGAGCATCTATCAGATTTCACAATTAGTTGTGTTTGCAGTGATCGTGGATGGATTATGAGATAATGGGCCCCTGGGCACAGACATGTAAGAAGCCAACCACCCCTCTTGGTAGTCTCGCTCCCAGGGTGTCAAAAACCGTCGCTGAGTCAGTGGCCTACTGTATCACACATGCACAATGCACCCTTCAGCATCTGTATGAGACACACTGGGCTTATAATAAGCTCCAGTGTAATCATTATTAGATGGTGAGAGCAAAGGACATAGTATTAGAGCCAGAAAGTCTGAGGGTGATGGGTGGGATGGGAGGTGGACGGGTCTAACAAGCACAGGACTTTGACCCAGGAGGCCAGTCGTGGCGCATGTGAAACTGAAAGTCAACATTGTGTTACTTAAGGTGTCACAGATGTGGTCTGAACCCAATAGCAGCACCAAAGACAGATGGATAGTTTGTTATGGTCTTTTATGAAACCACTTGTCAAACACAGAGTGGGCAGGCAGGGGGAAAACAGCGATATAGTCAGTGTGTTGGCTCAGAACCTTCAAAGACACAGGTTCAGTCCAAAACACTTGGTGTGGCACACCGAAGCAGAGAACAGGTGAGAGCAGTGGCGTCTCCTGGATGCACAAAGCGGCATCATGAGGGAACAGATGGGAGGCAATGTCAGATGAGTAGAGGGTCCGATACCATCCAACACACCTGTACGTAGGTCAGAACCGGCAAGGAGTTGAGGAACCAGTGGTGATGATGAGTGGATCCTGTGGCACATACACAAAGGCAGAATGTGCAACCACGTGGCGAGGTAATCCACAGCGTGGGAAATCACAGGCAGCAGAACAGGTAAACTCACAACGGAGAGCTGACTGGCAGTCTCTCCACTCAGCCATGGAAAGCGAACAGAAACCAGGAACGGAAAAGCAGAACTCTTGGTTGGGGACAGACCGCTGAGTGGTTTACTGGGGAGCAGACGAGGCAGGCGAGGTCGGCAACAAGAAAGCAGT